CAGTCAAGTGTAATATTCCTCTGCAAGATGCAGGAGTGTACAAGCTGGATTGTGAATGTGGTCTCTCTTATATAGGACAAACTAAAAGATCCATAAAAACCCGCGTTAAAGAACACATAGCTGATGTGAAGAATAGACGCTCCGGGAAGTCTGCAGTCTGTGAACACGTACAGGATCGCCCCCGTCACTACATTAGATTTGATAGACCACAAATCCTCGCTAAAGAACACCGATTCCTTCCAAGGATGATTCGCGAGGCTATTGAAATCAAAAAACATCCTAATTTCAATAGAGAAGATGGCTGGGTGCTACCATCTGCTTGGGATCCCATAATTAATAAAATTAAATCCCAACCCAAGCATACAACTGCAAGACTTCATGATACTGTAAGTTCATACTGCGTAGATCGGAACAAAAATTAATAAAATTTTTAATCTGGAGGTAGCCGTGGTTAACTATGACATTGGGACGTCATACACCTCAGTCCCCCCCGTGACCATGGGTGCTGTAAAGTGCTTGAAACGTCGGGAAAGTAAAATAAGTTAATATACGCGATAAAATCCGTAAAATTAGTTTTATTGAAATGTGTAGTGTTCGCGTAAATATAAGAAAAAAAAAAATTTGTACTGTACACACGAGTGAGGGTTTCAAGATGTACCCTCATTTCCATTGTATATCCTCTTTTATTATACCCTCTTTTTCCGACATATTCATAATTTTTACAATTCTTTTGTTGTGAATAAAAACACAAAATTAATATTTATTCTATTTATGGGAAATTGAATATTGTTAAAAATGCGAATGTAACATTTCAAGTACATTTGTAAAAGAGAAGAACAAAAGCTTACCGAACCCTCGGAGCCAGCAAATAAAATATCAAGCATTCTGTAAAATCCATTTTTCCATTTTTGCATTGTTATACTGCTCTGAAAGAATTTTCTGTGTACTATGTAAGATTTTAAAATAATACGGAAACTAATTACTATATTTTGTTTGGTTTGTTTCTGTAAAATACAAATCAGATTGCTTATAATAGTTAGATATATCTCTTTTTTCTTATTACCCGTGGCAGAACCACACTACTGTCCAAAGCGCCCTCAACACGTACGTTGCACGAAACAAATTTAGTTGCGAATAAAATTGATTTATTATAGAACTGGAGTGTACAGATTGATAGAAATCATTTAAAAACGTTTGGCGAACCTCTACCATAAAATAAACATATGTACAGGGAGTTGATGGATGCAGGTGTCTTAGGACTGAGGACTTTGTCCAGCAGTGGACTAGTGATGGGATATAATGATAACAAACCTTTAATTTGACAAATCATGGACAGTAAAAACTGTAAAATATATTAATAAAATATTAATTTCCTTCACAATAGTAAATAAGAAGTATTTTTAACAAATAAAATATTGAAAATTATTGTAACTAGAACCAAAAGAAGGTCGAGCCTGTATTGTTATCGTTGGCCTCCAAGCACCCACTCCTCAACACTGATAACAGTGGTAAACAAAATTCCTTTTTTGAAAAAAAATATTTTCAAATTATTTTAATAAACAAAATGTAATTAGCAAATCGTTTCTATAATGTATTTACTCATAATAATAATTTACATTATTCATAACAATGAATAATTAAAAAATATGAATATACACCTTAATGAAAATTTAGCGCACTTGGTAAATTATTCAAGAAATATTTTATAATTTTTCCACCCTTAGGGATAGAAGTTTTCCTTTATATCTATAATATATTATGATATATAACCTACCCTTATAAATAAAAAAATAATCATCTAACTCGGTACGGCCGTTTTCGAGATTTTTAATAGTACCTATGTTCACCGCCACACCTAATATAAATAGAGAAAAAATATAGTGTAACATACGTTGGGGCTTCCAAGTTACTGTAGTGCAACAGGGATGTTCGCATTGGCGCACGCTAATGGGTCTTACACCGTAGTGCGCAAGCGAATCACATCTCCCTGCGCATGCTGCGGGGGAGCACCAACACCTGAGAATGGTGTTGGTGAGTAATCAGTGAAAAGCCTGACAGTCCGATACTGCGGCACTGGGTGTACGTTCACACACATGTTGCAGGGGTGTAGCGCAGTGCAGGCAGATATTTAAATTTTTTTTTCATTCATCATTCATTACAGCCCTTCACAAGTCCACTGCTGAACATAGGCCTCCCCTCCCCCAAAGAATGCCACAAAGCACGGTTCTGAGCCACCTGCATCCATCGACTTCCTGCATATCTTACCAGGTCGTCACTCCATCTAGTGGGGGGACGCCCTACACTTCGCCTACCGGTACGAGGCTGCCACTCGAGAACCTTTCTTCCCCATCGGTTGTCGGTTCTTCGAGCTATATGGCCGGCCCATTGCCACTTCAGCTTACTAATCCGTTGGGCTATGTCGGTCACTCTAGTTCTACTGCGGATATCCTCATTTCTGAGTTTATCACGCAGAGAAACTCCGAGCATAGCCCTCTCCATAGCTCGCTGAGCGACCTTGAGCTTCCTCATCCGGCCAGCAGTGAAGGACCACGTCTCAGTTCCGTATGTCATCACTGGCAACACGCACTGGGTGTACAGTCTCGTTTTCAAGTTTTGAGGTATACCTGACGAGAAGATGTGCCGTAATTTCCCGAACGCTGCCCAACCGAGTTGAATCCGTCGATTGACCTCTCGGTCGAAGTTGGACTTACCTAGTCGGACTATTTGTCCCAGGTAAACATACTCGTCAACAACTTCGAGCTTAGTGTTCCCAACAACTACCGGCATAGGTGTGACATGGACATTAAACATGATCTTTGTTTTGTCCATGTTCATCTTAAGACCTATCCGTTGGGAAACACTATTGAGGTCATTGAGCATAGTGCTTAGGTCCTCCAGCGATTTTGCCATAAGGACTATATCGTCGGCAAATCGAAGGTGAGTGATGTACTCGCCATTGATGTTGATACCGTATCCTTTCCAGTCCAGAAGCTTGAAAACATCTTCCAATGCAGCGGTAAAGAGTTTCGGGGATATGACGTCACCTTGTCTTACACCTCTCTGCAATTGGATAGGTTTCGTACTCTGGTTCTGTACTCGGATAGCCATCGTAGCCCTACTGTACAAGCACTTCAACACTTCGATATACCGACAGTCAACTTGGCATCGCTGAAGGGACTGCAGCACCGCCCAAATTTCGACGGAATCAAAGGCTTTCTCATAGTCCACATACGCCAGACATAGTGGCAAATTGTACTCCTCGGACTTCTGTACAATTTGCCGAAGGGTATGTATGTGGTCTATGGTGCTAAAGCCTTTTCGGAAACCGGCTTGTTCGGGAGGCTGGAAGTCGTCAAGTCTGCGCGCGAGACGATTCGTAATGACTCTCGAAAACAGCACGTAGACGCGGCTCAGAAGGGAAATCGGTCTGTAGTTCTTCAAGAGAGCGTTGTCGCCTTTCTTGAAGAACAAGACCACCGCACTTCTGCTCCACGCCTGCGGTGTAATGCCACCATGGAGGACGGAATTAAAGAGCTTCTGAAGGACTTCAAGTACCGGTTTTCCACCCGCTTTCAGAAGCTCCGCTGTAATTCCATCCTCGCCTGGGGCCTTGCCGTTTTTAAGGTGCTGGAGAGCCATTCTAATCTCGCTCAGACTGACGTCCGGGTATTTAAATTAGAATAAGTATTTTCCAAAGAAATGTTACTAACCTAGTTTTTAGGATCTTTTTTTTATGCTACTAACAATATTATAGACAAAAGTCTGAAATAAATCAATTTTTATTTTATTTTATACGACGGTTACGAATCATGGATGATGATCAATGGACGTGATGACTAACTAGTATTGTGGCCGTTGAGGCAGAATATGGCGAATGATATCTATTTATCGAGACAGAACCTTTTCAGTTTCATAATTTTATATAAATTGCTAGTACCTATTGTATAAGATTAAATAATATTATTTTTTTAAAATAGTAATTTTAAAACAAAAGCAATTCCAATGTTATTATGGAAGGGCACGGTAAACAAACTGAAATGGGAGCGCGAGTGTAAACACCACGCTCACGTCCCCCGCGAGGCCCTTTGCCTCGTGCCCAAAAAACCGCCCCCGACGCGAGCGCCGGGAGTGGCGAGGCGAGCTGCGAGGCGAGACACGAGCTAGCGTTTACACACGCACCTCGTGGCTCGCCTCGCTACTCGCCTCGCCGCTCGCGCGGGTGTGTAAACGGGGTATAAACGGGGGTTGTCGTAGACAGAGTTTCTTCTGATCAGCTTGGTGATGTTGCACATAAAAATTCAAATATGTTGCACATATTTGAATTTTTAACCGGCTTAAAAAAGGAGGAGCTCCTCAATTCGACTGCATTTTTATATGTGTTACCTCAGATTTTTTTTCTAGATGAACCGATTTTGATGATTCTTTTTTATAGGAATGCTGGTGCTTTTCATGTTGTCTCATATAGATTTAATCATAATGTGACCATTAGTTTTTGAGTTATCCTTAATACTCATAATGTGTACTGTTTTGGTATTAAGGTTCACTACTTTTACAGGGACTGATCACAGAAACAAGGTGTCAATGATACGATACGGTGGTTTAATTGCTACTAAACATTTAAATTACATTTTACCTTATTAAAGACCTCACTCACACTTGTATACTGTTCATCTTACATACAACACACACGCATTACAATATTGCTCGAACATGCCGCCCACCAAAGGACTCATAAAGTCCTTTCTTATCTAACTTGTTACATTTCAGACATTCTCCAAATATAATAATTTTACATGACATTTGTTATACAATATATGTGATTACATACATTTTTGATAAAGGTAACACCCTAAATTCATTAAGCTTTATAGTAATGGACATATTACAATCAAAATAAAAAAAAAACTATTTGACACAATTTTCATGTAAATGGGAATACATACTAGAACATTTAATACATGCAAAATAAAATTTAACCATAAATGATTTAGAATAAAACATCAGTCTATATCTATAGGTAAAGGACACAATTTGTTCATTGGTCTTTGCACTACACTTTCACCACTTTTAACACTATACACCCTAGTCACTCCATCATGACCTGGGTGCTTATCCACCACACGACCCAGCATCCATTTGCCAGGAGGGAGATTGTCACATTTTATAAGAACAATGCGTCCTATTTCAAATTCCTTCACTTTTTCTTGCCACTTAGGTCTCTGCTGTAACCTGGTCAAGTACTCTTGTTGCCATCTTCGCCAAAAATCTGATAGAAGCTTCTGTTGATGTTGCCATCGTGACAAGTGACTGACAGGAATGTTCTTTAGATCAGAGTGGGGTACATTGATTGGAGCTTCGCCTATTAAGAAGTGCCCTGGGGTAAGTGGCAGTATGTTGTCCGTGTCTGAGTCATCAATAGGGCTAAGCGGGCGTGAGTTAAGGCAAGCTTCTATTTGACACAGTAAGGTCGTCATTTCTTCATAGGTTAGGTTGCAAGTCAATATTCTTTTCATGTGGTATTTCATTGATTTGACACCTGCTTCCCATAATCCGCCCATGTGAGGACTATAGGCAGGTATGAAATGCCATTGTGTGCCATCTAATGCTAACATTTCAGAAATATGACCCTCAAACTTCATCTTTGCGTCTGCCCAAGCTGCTACAAGTTCTTTGTTGGCACCTACGAAGTTTCTTCCCTGGTCGCTCCAGAGATGTGCACATCTTCCCCTTCTTGCTACAAATCTTCTGAAAGCTCCAATAAAGGCCTCCGAGGTAAGGTCTCCAACCAATTCTAGGTGTATGGCTTTCGTTGACATGCAAACAAAGATTGCTATGTAAGCCTTAATTGTATTAAATCCTCTACCTTTAGATCTCAGGATTTGGTAAGGGCCAGCAAAGTCTACTCCACTGTGTAGAAAGGGTCGAGCAGGCGTAATTCTTACACGAGGTAAGTCTCCCATTAATTGTGATTTAGCTACAGCGTTTTGCTTGGCACATATGAGGCAATTGCGAATTTTAATTTTTACCAATTTCTTTAATTTCAGGATCCAGTATTTTAATCTTAAATATCCAAGCATCAATTGCGTTCCACCATGTAGTGTCTTCAAGTGAGCATCAGATACTATAAGTGCACTCAAGTGATTTTCGCTGTCTAATATAATAGGATGTTTGCAATTTTCATCAAGGTCAGAGTGACGTAATCGGCCGCCCACCCTGAGGATACCTTCATCATCCAGGTAAGGTAAAAGAGACTTTATTTTACTATAATTTTTTACCCTTTTTATTGATTTTAGGTTTTGTATGTCTTCTTCAAATGTGTCCCTTTGTACAATTTTTATACATGTTTTTAAAGCTTCTTCTAATTCTGTTGTAGTTATTGTAGTTGCCTTATTTTCCAATTCCCTTCCTTTGAAGAATCTTTTGCAATATGTTATAACTTTTAATAGTTCTGTTAAATTATCAAATCTGTTAAACTTAGTAGCTATACTAGAACTTTCGTTTGTTTGTTTTAGATTCACTTGTACTGATATGATCTTTCTTTCTAGGTTCGTTGTTATGTTTGCTGGTCTGCTGTATTTAATATTACTTGTGCTTAGCCATTCAGGACCGTTCCACCACATTTTATCACCTTTCAGATCTAGCACGTGCTTCCCTCTAGAAGCTGCATCAGCAGGGTTGTCTTGTGATTGGACGTGATACCAATTCTGGTTGCCAATGTTGTCTAATATCTCAACAACTCTGTTTCTCACAAATGTATTCCACCTTGCAGGATCTCCAAAAAGCCAAGAGAGTACTATGGTGGAATCCGTCCACGCGAATATTTGACAGGTGGGTATTTTCATAGCTTCCTTTATTTTTTTTCAGGAGTCCCGCCAGGAGTACAGCCCCGTTAAGCTCCAAACGAGGTAAGGATTGAGGTTTGATAGGAGCTAAACGTGTTTTCGCTGCGATTATTTCTGTCTTAACCAATCCATCTATAGTTTGAACTCTTAAGTAAGCAACTGCAGCGTATGCTTGAGTAGATGCGTCACAAAAACCATGAACTGTAACATTATTCATTACATTTTCAGATGTATGCAGCCACCGGTTGATCTCTACCTCAGGTAAGTATTGGTAGCTTTCTCGCAGTTTTCTCCATTTTTCTGCAATTAAGTGGTTAACTTCTTCATCCCATGAAATTCCTTGTATCCATAAATGTTGTATGAGTAATTTTGCAGGCAATATAGAAGGTGCTAACCAGCCAAGTGGATCAAATAATCTTTGAATGTCGGCTAGGATTGTTCTTTTAGTTACAGTATCAGCCATAGAAGGTAAGTGAAGACTATATTTAAATACATCCTTTCCCATGTCCCATTGTAAGCCTAGTGCCCGTATTGTTCCATCTATCTTTATATCTAGGTGTACTTGAGAACTTCTTTCAGAGGGTTCAAATTGTTTTAAGAACTCTGCGTTGTTTGAGCACCACTTCTGAAGAGTGAAACCTCCCTTCTGCAAAATAAACCCAATCTCTTTCGCTACTTTGATTGCATCTTGAAGTGTGTCCTTGCCTGACATCAGATCATCCATGTAAAAGTCTTCCTTTATAATTCTGGCAGCATCAGAGTAATCTCGACCTTCGTCTTCCGCAACTTGATGCAAGGTTCTTACTGCTAAATATGGAGCAGAAGCAGTTCCAAACGTAACTCTCAGGAGACGATAATCTTGTACTGGTTGGATTTTGCAATTTCTCCATAATATCCTTTGTAAATCTCTATCTTCTTTTGAGAATAAAATTTGACGGTACATTTTTTGGATGTCAGCAACAAAACAGATCCTTTTCATTCGCCATCTCATGATTAAGCTTCTCATGTCGTCTTGTAACTGTGGTCCTACCAGTAGCTCTTCATTGAGGGAAATGTTGTTGTTTCCCTTTTGCGAAGCATTAAAAACTGTTCTCACTTTACTTGTTTCTTTATCTTGTCTTACAACGGCATGATGAGGAAGGTATACTGCTGGGTTGTTAATTTCATTTTCTGGTACTCTCTCTAAATGATTTAACTCTATATATTCTTGCATCACCCTTGTGTATTCACTTTCTAAGCTTTGATCTTTTTCGAATTTCTTTTCTAATTGATACAAATTTCTCAGTGCTATATCTCTTGTTCTTCCTGATGGTGATAAAAGTGGTTTTTGTTTTGTTGGAAGTTTTACAATATAACGTCCTTCTGATGTTCTGTGCGTTGTAGCTTGATATATTTCTTCACATGTTTTTTCTTCTGCTGTTAATGCTCTTTTTTCATCTGTACCTTGCTCCCACATATTCCTCAGCATGTCATCTAAATTCAAATTAAGATGCATGACACTGACCTCATAATTTTCTCTGTTGCTTTGTATGTGGCCAAACAGAATCCATCCCAGGCTGGTATTTTGAGCACATGGAGTGCCTGGAGGACCTTTGATTACTTCACCTTTCATAATTTGGGCACATACGTCCACACCTAATAACATATCTATCCGTCCTGGTTGATTGAAGCCTGGATCTGCTAATACGAGGCCTTGGAGGTGTGAACAGTTCTTCAGGCAAATGGTTTGAGTTGGTAACTGACATGTAAGACGAGTTGGCATTATGTAAACTTTGATATTGAGGTTAAAGTTTGCTTCGTATCTTGATAAAAGTTGTATTTCAGCAGCTTGCTTCAAAATTGTTTTGCTGCATCCCATGCCTGTAACTGTACCTTTAATAGCAGTGCGTTTCAGTTTAAGTGTCTGAGCAGCTCTTTCACTTATAAATGTGGCTTGTGAGCCATGGTCTATTAAGGCACGTAGTACAGCTGTATGTCCCAGTTGATCCCTGACAACTATGAGTGCTGTAGCCAATAATGCTGTGGTGGTACTAGTAGCAAAGTGTGATGATAACTGAACATTTGATATTGTTGGATTTGCAGAGCTTCCTTGATCATTATTCTTCGCTTCGTGCGCTTGGTCATTGTCTGGTTGATTTGATGACGTCACCATGTTTTGGTGCACTAAAGAGTGGTGACGTTTATGACATATACGACAGGACATGTTGAGACGACATTTCTTTGCAGAGTGTCCTGGGGCCAAACAATTAAAACACAGATTGTGGTTCTTTAGATATTGACACCTTTCTGTTGGTTCCATCTTAGTAAATTCCCTACAGTGACACAGTGTATGATTTTCTTTACACATTAGGCAACTCCTTAATTTAGACGTAGCCGCAGTAGCAACATGTAGCGTATTTTCTTTATTTCTTATTATCTTGTCCCTTGGTGAAGGTGTGATTAACTCTAATGTACGAAATTTCGATTGTAAAAACTTACAGAGATCCGCCCACAAAGGTAATTCGTCAGAATTTTCCCGGTAAGCAAACTCCTCCCATTCTCTGTGCGTCTCCGGGTCCAACTTCTGCACAACGAGAAATATAATTAATGGATCCCAAGAGTCGGTTGAAATTGTAAGATTTTTTAAGCTATTAATGCATTCTGTAGTGGTATCGAGAAGTGCTTTTATATAGTTTGCAGTTTGGGCAGGGATTTTCCTCTGCATAAATAATCTTTTCAATAGAGAATTTACTATTATACGTTTATTTCCGTAACGAGTTTTAAGCATCACCCATGACTGATCATAATTATCTTCTGTTACTTGAATATGCTTCAACAGAGTTTCGGCTTCACCACTAAGGCTACTCTTTAAATAGTGAAGTTTTTGTACTTTACTAAGAGATGAGTTGTTGTGCACTAACGACATAAATAGATCTTGAAATGCAGGCCATTCTTCGTAAATACCGGTAAAAGAAGGCAGTTGTATCCGTGGTAATTTGACTATTCCTTCATTGGATGTAATAGGGTTGGTAGGTATACTAGGATGCAATGATATCGGCTGTGTTAATGTTGACAATAAATCTCTTAGGTCGGCTTGTAAACATAAATATAGATCCTCATAAATAAAATAGTCTTCGTTTGCGAAATAAGGTATATTTTGCTTCTTTTCTTTGGGAACACATTTTACAAGCTCTTGATGTGATTTTTTAAAAGAATTCCAATACTCTTCTATCATTTGCAGTCGAGTTTCAATGTATCCTTTTGTAAGTCGCTGCTTAGGACATTTCTTTAGGTTGTTCTGAGCCTTTTGTAATAATGCCGCAGTATTTTCCAATAAAGATAATATTTGTTCCGGAGTAGTGGCCATATTTATATAAACGTTCCACAAATGTATAAAACGTTCCACAAATGTAATATAAACAAACTAGTTTCACTTCGATAACTCAAATATGTAATTATTCAAACGTTCGTAAAATGTCTTATAACTTGCACAAGTCACACTCAGGTAAAAAAGGTTCTTTTGTTCTCGCCTCGACCGCCCGGTCCGTCCTTTTGTTTAGCACTTGATAGTTATAACGTCACAAGAGACACGTCGTTAGATCCGGCTCGATTATCGACCATATGTTTTGGTATTAAGGTTCACTACTTTTACAGGGACTGATCACAGAAACAAGGTGTCAATGATACGGTGGTTTAATTGCTACTAAGCATTTAAATTACATTTTACCTTATTAAAGACCTCACTCACACTTGTATACTGTTCATCTTACATACAACACACACGCATTACAATATTGCTCGAACATGTACTTATTAATATAATTGACTTCGAATACATTGATGATGTTCTAATTTTATTTATTTTGAAGTCCGTTCTACAAAAATTTTAATTGTAGCACTTGTTTATCACATTTACCACGAGGAGTACTGTGTGCTCTGTGTGTGTGTCTGTATGTAGTATTGTAATAACAGGCTCCTGTTAAGTTCAACGGGTTATTTGTAGGCTATTAAGACTCAAGTAACCATTTTATACGTTTTGTCTATTTGTTTGTCTGTCTGTCTGCTAATCTTCCGAATAGCAGAACCGATCGTAATGAAACTTTACAAGTAGATAGAGAGCAATACCAAGAGGGATCTACGAGTAGGATATATTTTAGCCAAAAAGTTTGAGATTGTTTTTAAATGCTAAGGGCTGTAGAGGGTGTGGTTGCAGGCCTATTGTACACCTTGTTTAATTTGTGTTGGGAACTAAAGCGGGTACCGGAAGACTGGTGCAAAGCCGTTATAGTCCCAATATATAAGGGAAAGGGGTCGCAGCAGGACGGTAAAAATTACCGTGGTATCAGCTTGCTTAGCATTGTGGGTAAACTGTATGCTAAGGTGTTAATTGAAAGAGTTATGGAAGAAACTGATGGAAAAATTTGGGATGTGCAAGCTGGATTTAGAAAGGGGATGGAGTGTACGGATCAAGTGTTTTCCATGCGCATGATTGCGGAGAAATTTTTGGCTAAAAACCAGAAAGTTTTTTGTGCGTTCATGGACTTGCAAAAGGCTTATGACAGAGTGGACAGGAACGTGTAATGGCAAACACTGACCTCATTTTGGTTGAGCGCTGGTCTGATACAGGCATTAAAGTCTCTTTATAGGGACTCTAGTGCTTGTGTCAGGATCAACGGGGCCTACTCGGACTGGTTTGGCATTCAAAAAGTTGTCAAACAGGGTTGTGTAGCTTCTCCGTGGCTGTGTAACCTATTTATGGACAGTTGTTTGCAAACTTGAAAGTTGAAGAATGTGGATTGAGAATGGGTGAGTTAACTGTCAAATACCTTTTGTACGCCGATGATCAAGTCATATTTGCATCGTCGGCGGCCGAGTTGCAAATGATGGTTAATTTAATGAACTGGTCATTAAAAGAAAGTGGTATGAAAGTGAACGCAAGTAAAACGAAAGTGATGGTTTTTGAAAGAGAAGAAAGTAAAACGTTATGTGAAATAAGAATAGAAGGGGAGTTGATTGAGCAAGTGGATGAGTTTGTATATTTGGGATGTTTATTTAGCAGGGATGGTAGATATGACAAGGATATAGAACGACTAGTGAACGCAGGAAATAGAGTTAATGGGGCTCTACACGCTATTATGAAGAGTCAGAATATGTCAAAGAAGCCACGTATGGCAATTCTGTTTCAGAAGTGAACGGCAAAGTCGGGAAGGGACGCCCTAGCCGAAGATTTATCGACCAAATCGGCGATACATTGAAAATGGGTCGGTTAAGGGTACGCCAGATTAGGAGTACCCTTAACCGACGAGCGTGTATGCGTAAATATATGGATGTAAAGTAGACGAGAGAAGTGTGTCAGGATCGCGACAAATGGAAGTCCGTAGTCTCTGTCTACCCCTCTGGGTGACAGGCGTGAGTGTTTGTATTGTATATTGTATTGTTTTTAAACATAAATAACGCCACATTAATCTAATAAATTAGTATCCAAGCGAAGCTGATATGGGTCGCTAGTTATTAATAAAAGTCTATTAGAAACAGAATTAAAATGAAGAACACGATATTGTTAATTAATTAGCCTTTAGCGAGCTCAGAACTAATCGTAAGTAACGATGTCCTTAAGCAAGAAAATAAATTAGCAGCGGTACGCGAATAAATAAAATAGAATTATAAAAGCTGTTCTTGCTCCTTACTGTAATTTTTATTTAGACTACACAAATTTTCATCAACAAACTTTTTAAATATGAACTGTGTCTTACGAAATGTAAAAATATATTGTATTTTAAGGTGTTATAACGAAAAGATAATTATATCTTTTCACCTTACACTTAACCATATCAATTTTACGTGTAGTTGCGGCATATAAAAATACACCACATGAGGGAGAGCCATGCTGCAACTATATTATGGTTATAGCACAAAGGGGTCGGCTCGAGATGAGAAGGATCACGCCCTCACAGAATAACAGCGCGAAATAGCAGCCTAATGCTGCTGTGTTTCATATTATAAGTGCAGAGAAACGAAGACCCTTTTTACATGAATATTTTTGCTCATAAGGTAGGTTTTTATAAAAAGGAGTTACTTTCAGTACTCAGAGGAGAATGAGTTTGTGTAATTGGTTATTCGAATAATAATTACTTTCATCATTTTATTAGTTGAAGACACAAACATTGTATCAGATGAAAAATGCGCTAATCTCAATCTCAGCTTTTATTAATAGTAATTGGTGGTCAACGTTGTTGTTTGCACTATTATATTATATTTTTTGTAGTAAATGTATTCTAGATTAAGAAATATTGTGCAAACTGTTTGTTGATCCTAATAAATTAAAAAAAAAAGACATTCCATCTTAGTCCTCAGGGGCCACTACGCATCTGTATTTTGACTCTTAATTAAGATCCATAGCATTTACGTACCATCAGGTGGGCTTTACTCGTTTGTCACCCTTATTCTTAAAAAAACCATCCAATTTCGTCCCGTGGGTAAAGTGAGAGGCGAATACGGGAATACCAGAAAAATGTTATGGCTACAGTGGCAGTATAACCATCTCGTTAACGACAGTCGTATAGTACCCAGACTGGTGACAGGGGAGCAGCATCTAAGATGCGAGACCTCTGGACCTGCAATCGACAATCCACC